AATCCAATCTTTCTGTCTACGACCGACTAGAAAATCCTTAAGCCATTTTAAAAGAGGTCCGGCATTATCAAGATAGTCTAACTTCAATAGCAGTCTAATTGTAGCAGTCTATTTGTTGGCGCCTTGTCAAATACTTTGCTAAAGTCTATATAGACAACATACACTGATTTTCCGTGGTCTGGAGTTCTCATCTATTGCACCCCTTCTATGAGGTTTGTCGTGCATAATGAACCTTTTCGGAAACTAAGTCGTTTGCCGTTTAACAAGTTGTTGGTTTCCACAACTGTCATTATGGTATTTTCGACTATTCTTTGCAGTATTTTAACTACGACACTGGTAAGGCCGGCAGGTCTGTTGTTCGATGGAAGTGGTCTTGGTCCCTTTTCATGCACTATAGTAATGATTGCGCCTTCCCACTCCCCAATTAACATACCTTGGTTAAGTGACATATTGAATTTGGCACTAAGTGGGGCTACAATATATTGTACAACGTCTCAGGATTTTGGGGTGCATTTTATCTTATCCTATTGGCCTTTCTTTGTCTAAAGTGCTAAGAGCATTAAACACATCGTTTTGGTCAAATTCCACTGTGGGCAGGAGGCTTAGTGACTTTGTATTTAGGCCTAGTTCTTAGTCTAGAAAAGATTCCTGAGTGAAACCCCCCGAACAGTCTTCTACCATTTCAAACCCATTCACTTCCTTGGCTAGGTTAAGAATTCAATGCTTCATCCTTGTTCTCTAATTTTCGTACGAGAGTAGACTCTTTATTGCAGGTTGTGCCAACTGCACTTCATATTTTCTCTGAGCCTCCCTGATTTTATTTATAAACTAACAACGATTAAATATTTCTTCTTTTGTCTTAGGAAACATCGAATATCCTGGCCTATCTAGGGATAACCGTGCTTCTTGTTCGGGGCTGTTTAGGGTAAATTTGGTTGGGTCACCTGATTGTTCAAAAGACACGGTTTTTATTTGGTTATGATAATTTTACATACTTCCCTTCTGCGCAATCGTGTTTCTATAATCTCTGAGTTAGAAGTCTTATCGTGTGATGTAAACATTTTCCGAAAGCGACGATTCGTTTTGTCAAGCTCTAGATAAGTCACGTCTTACAAGCAAACATCATCCAGATGGAGTGCTTAAAATATTGACATTATTCTGTTTGCAGTTTCAATTGTGAACTAACCTCAGCTAGGCCATCACTAAAAAACTGGAAGGACTGAGCGGCCGTATAGGTCTAGTTTAGGACTTCTCATCAGTTCAGATCTTGAACCTATAGTAGGGAATCACATATTAAACTTTCGGTCTCACGGAAAAGCTTGACTTCTGGACTACTATGGCGTCACTCAAGTTTTAACGCTTAACTTCAACCGATTCACGATATGCATTGCCTGAATTGGATGACTGTCTCACACATGAGAAGGTTGAACCCCGCTAGTCACAAATCGTCATTCAGACTACAGAAAATATATCGCACAGTGACAAAAAGCCTCCAGTTTCCCTTAGGTTTTCTATTTGTGGCCTACCTAGGATCAGCTCGCGATTTAAGCTGTTAAATTTTTACAATACCCATAAATTAAAATATATATCCGTACCAAACACTATCCCCCGGATCAAAAGACCAGCAGCTGTGTTTATAGACCCTAAACGGTTTCGTCAATTATTCGTACAACTTCCGCCTAGCTCTGAAGAGCTTTTTATGCACCGCCTAATATCTTGACCGATCATGAAAATATCGATCCTCCACTGTCATACACATTTGCATAGTCAAATGTAAAAATTTATGGTTTTCTTTTTATCGCCATCCATTGTCAGTTATACCACTGTTTTCTACCCCTCAAATCTAGATTCCGACTTCATTTGGTGCTCAATATTGCATTACTTTTCCCTAAGTTCCAGGCTCCGTATTTAGTTTCTGTTTCAAGTAGACAGATAACTGACTGAACCTATGGATGCTGCCCCACTATGATCAGTTATAAGAAACTAATACAGTTTTGAATTATCGTGAGTTCCTTCTGGTTGACGCTATACAAGTTTGAAAATTTTACCAAGAATTCATGGACATGTAAAAGGTATTTTGTCTCAGTATAAGTTTATAGGGATTGTTGAATTCGAATTGAGATCACAGACCGAAAGGTGTTGGACTGTCATCGAAAACTTGAAGGTCCTGATTGCCGTTATACACCCGGTATGAGACTCCTCAGTAGTGTCTATGTACGATCGTGCATGTGGTACGCGAACCCAGGTCCTTTGATCTCGCGCTCGAACGCCTTAGTGTTAAACGTCCGGAGACCGAAGTTTCTGGATTTGTGTCCTGTATGGATGTGTACTGCTGGGGAGTACTATTCTGGACTGAAACGGTCGTTCGACGAGGAGGTCTAAGAGTGATCGGTTTTGTTACCTCATCCATCTATCATTTTACTCGTGGATTTAGCAGACCCAACCCTCCTTTTTAATATACTTTGATGAGTTATGTATCCTTACCATTTTAAGTATATATACTCTGACCAGTATCGTGAAATCCGTGCCATCAGTTAACATAATGTCAGTGTGGTATACTAAATGAATATCCAACTTACAATACATAGATTTAGCTGTCTAATTTGCTTTTAACATGTGATAAGCAGATACAGAATATGTCATCAACGTGAGCAACACAAGCTTAGATTAAAGCAATATATTAAAACATACCACAGGGGTCAGAGTGTTTAACATTAAAAGAAGAGTGAGGGCGGCGACAGTGATTTTGGGAAGACAACCACGTCTGTAGAGCAGAACGTTTTGTTAAATTACAGCCTGCTACAGTGTAGTGGGATATAACTAACTAATGGCATTGATGATAGTTCTCTATGCTTCATACCTCTTCGATTCATGTTCGTAAACTTGAACTGGTTTCACGTCATACTGAGAAATCCTATTACAGAACGAACCATTACGCTTAATGGAGCCCACTCATGACTCTGTAGGGGCATTGGACCATAACCACACAATCTTCAAAGCTGAACACAACACTACTCAGAAAGTGGATATTCAATATTTAACACGGAGAAATACCTAACAATGGAGAAGGCGCGAACAATGAATTAAATTAATTGGAATTGATCGAATGGCATGGCTCGGCCATGCGGGCGTGGTCCCTGCTGAATATTACCTTATATCTTTTATTCATATTAAATATATTGTTCTTTCTCTAGCCTAAGCTTGTTCTTCATCAGGTATTAGAAGTTGTTACGATACAGTGAGTTGGTGTAGACGATGATGTGACTTCCACGTAAGATCTTATAGATTAGGCAGTTATATCATGACAAATCTACAATTTTAGGATTAGGTCTATTATTAGAGCAATACTAATATCATAGTAGACCATAGTTCTACAACTCTACAAAAGCCAAAGTGAAAAAAAGTTATAATAATTGGCATGAAGAAAGCCACCTGTGTATCCGAACACTATATTTTCCTTATAACATTTTAAACATATACATACGCTTAGACTTTCTTCTCTCTTGAAGGTCTTTTATTTATACAGTCCTTTATCCATACTTTCGGCTTGTACTCTTTAACCTTTTGAAATATACATGCATAAAAATATACTTTATATCAAGAAGTATGTTCGAGTAATTACTCCCTAATAACTCCACCTCAACTCACTACACCTTACCAGCCACTGACAAGGTCTGTCCTGCTTTTCGCCCTTCCCTTTTTCCCTTTCTCTTTCAGCATTCTCGTGATATACCAACGAAAACATATGTAAGGAACTTGTGGATTCATCCTACGCCTTCATTAAGCTTCCGGTATTTCAGAAAACTACCTATAACCCTCTCTCATTTTCAGGTATCACTAGGACGACCCTTTTACATCGTGTGCAGCCAAGAAGTGATAACCTCTCTCATGCCTCTAACTTCAATTAAGGTCATTGAATCCGTGACCAGTTTCCCCTTTCGATTCCTGTTACTTTTCCTATGTCGAATTTCAACTATAAACTTCCTCTTTTGACTTCCTCCTCAAGTGTCACAATGGCCAAGGATTCTAGTACGCTAAACGCTGTCTCAGGTCTCCTGAAACCTCCCTCCAAACTATACATTGGAGTCTTCAACGTACTCACTATGTATCATGCTGGCCAACAGGCCTTCTTGGCGAAGACCCTGGAATCTCGTACCATTGATGTATGCTGTACCTCCGAAAAACACATACAGGATCCTAGTAATAATAATATATCTCTGCATGAGCACGTACATGCCATTTTTACACGCATGATCTACAAATTACAACATTTGTTGGCGCACAGCATGCTTCCCAACTTATTAAGTTTATAGTCGTTATAAAGTAGACTCGTACAGCGTTTGCTGTAAACCACGACCTTGGGTAGACGCGTACGTCAAGTATGTTCCAGCCTAAACAGAAGGCTGACCAGATACACCTGGCAACTTGATGGCTAGTTCTCGTTGACTGGTGACTCTGATGCTCAGGTAGACAGATTAAACCAAACAGAAAGACATTTAAATGGGTAATTTGATATTCAAGATCAGCTAACAGATAATGGTGAAGTTCTGCTGCAACCGAGTTCAGATAATCGTGTATTTTTGACCACATATTCACCTTTCGTCAGGTTCTAGAACACATGCATACTTATCGGGGTCTGATAATGATAGTTTTTCTTGTCTTGAATGCATAATTTAACAAATAAATTCATAGTTTACAGCACAACAAACATTCCTCCAGTAACATTTATCGACGTTCCACTTGAAAGAAATCGACAACGTTATTAAACGTGCTATGACTTAGGACATCATTCCAGGATGTAATGCACTTCCGGCATAATACAGTCGGACGTGACAGTTAAAAATTACAATTAGAGCGAAGTTCACAGCTTAGTCCAGTTTTTTAATAAAAAATACTTTGTAATACGTCAAATATAATGACTACATGAATGTAAATATGACCATTATTCCGATTCGCGATACAATAGGTTAACGTAACAGTTTTGAGTTTAAAACAACCTCTTTTAAATAGTGCGGGTAAGGTATTTTTGGCATATATTGATAAACGCACTCAAATGAAATTTAAGACGTCAAATGTTTTTCATACAGAATTGAAAAATTAAATTACTGTTGCCTTCACTAGGTGGAACTTGAGTATGTTTTGCTGCGTCATAAATTAGGTCAGTTACACGTTCGGCGTGTCGAGTTCGAGGATGTGAGTGCTCGTCATCAGTATATGCTCTAACCTTACTCTTGTAAATAGCGAAGAGAAATTTAACTTGCTTTGAGATCATCATGAAACCAGTAGTAGAGTACTCTACTATTACGTTATATGTAAAAGTCATTAAAATTTAAAGGGCGTTGGGAAAAATGACTCATCATGAGTCTGATTAGGCTTTTAGATAATGTTCTAGATTTAACAACATATAGTGCTGTTCCTCTTGTTGTCTACTTATTTGCCATAAAGTTTCGTTTCATCCAAGTAAGACGTTTGAAGTTTTCTGATTTGTAAAAGCTAGGATTATTCTCAAATTCTATCCTATTTTGATAGACATGGATTTAGACACCAAACTAAATGATAAAGCTTCCTAATTTTAAACTTTTGTATGTAGTGCTTTTGATCGTTCCACTTGTTTTATACGCAAGAGGTCTCATATATCAATTAACTTCCTTGTATGTCATTCCACAATATAGGTAGCTTTCGCATAACTGTTTGAAGCTCCTCAGTTTGTCACTTGTCCTTATAATGTCAAAGGTACTTTGGATAGGTTTTTTTCGTAAGTTCTCAGCACTTCATGTTATTCAGATACGTATCGGAATGTCTCAAGCAATAACTTTTAGACAGTCTTCTCACAACAGGACAGGCTATTTTGTCTCAGGCCTTTACTGGTGCTAGGACATTGAAGGGATTGTTCCCATATTCTAGTAATCGAAATCTACAAAATTCTACTTATCGAAGCTTTCATTAAAATAACCCATTAAATTACACAAATAGTTTCTTTGAGATTGCTGAATGTCGTCGGACATAGAAAAATGAGGTTTTATCAATGCCTTGAATTATCAAAGTAGTCGATTTTTTCTTGTTCCTTGTAAAGGCTGAAGTGCCTACTTAAAACAGTTGAGTTGATCGTTGTCTGCTAATATATTAACATTATTGTTAATACCAAAAGATGATTACATGTGATTTTTAAAAAATGTAACGGTGTATTAAAAGCGTCGTTCTCAAATAATCACAACCCGTGCTATCATCTTTCTGCTATGGAAGATTACATGAAAATGCACACTTACGGGGAAAAAGCCGTTCATCAAAACTTTGGAATAGGTTTTAAAAATCTTAATATTCTTATCGGCAGTGATGATAAAAAATATCTTATCACTTTCAGAAGGATGGCTAGACATATGTCTCATGGGATTTTTGTTGTTCTCGAAGGAGCAGATCGTGTGGGAAAAACAACACAAGCATTACTTCTAGCTAAAGCTTTGTCGGAAATCACACATAAAGAGACTCTGTCTGTGAAATTCCCGGATCGTGATACTCCTCTGGGACGTCAACTAGATTCGTATTTAAGTGGGAATGGTGATATTAATAAACATGCATTACACTTATTGTTCACTGCAAATAGGTGAGTTTGTTTTTTAATGATGATTACTAATTCTATTGATGCTTATGTACCTAAACTAATTACCACTGATTACTACTCGATTATTTATGTATTCCTGACAGTAGATACGTAATCATGGATTAATTAAAAGAGTACGACCCTAACTACGGTTGTTGAATATGTAACAGTATTAAACAAACCAAACTTGCAAAAAACACTGAAAATACGGTAGCTAGATGTTAAATCAGCTTGTATGATATGACAGCATGTTGCGTGCAACCTTTCTTCAGTATTAAGCGCAGCCGATCCTAATTCAGTACTATGTACTGTGGGTTTTTAACCAATAATTACAATTTCAGTGAAAAATATTTGTCAATAACTCAGTACATGAGAGATTTTTTCGAATCTATCATAGTGGTTATAAAGGAAAGGACAAACTGGTATTGCAATACCAATTGAGCCCTAGTTTTCAAGTTTTGTTCCTGCTAATTAGATAATGCTATGCATTCTTAGGTTGTAAACTAATACAAATCTATAAAAAAAATCCTCACTGGACAAATCTCAAGTAGTAGTCTAGTCCTTGCTTTTAAACTTTCTAAACTCACTACTTGAATATGTTTGTAGTGTTCATGATACGTTTGATAAAAGTATGAGCCAAATCACGCTAGAATTAAAAGTTTAAAATTAAATTGACTACTCTCTTTATGTATTCTATTGTAGCAGTATCTCAGTGGTATTCCATTACTTTTGGGGTGAGTTGCCTACTTGCGTGGAACTACATAACTGTTTTCATTAGGCGCCTTCCCTATTTTTTGTTGAAAGTCAGCATTTTCCCTGTGCTTCATTTAATTCGATAGCTCATCGAATACTTTAGTAAATTAGATGGTTCACAACCACGAAATTCGTATACGATTACTACATGTTTTAGACTTTTCATCACAGGCTTTGTATTTCATATTACTTAGTCTAAGGCCATCGTTGTCAATGAGATCTATTATGATTCCAGTTTGGGCACCCGAGCAGTATCACAGCCCTCACACATATCGAATGAGATCTGTGTGGCGCATATGTATTTGGTGTGTCCTTGTACCAATATCTATGTGTTAATATATATATATATATATATCATGCAATTCCGATCTTTTTAGATGGGAAAGGCAGTCTGAAATCCGGAAGGCCATTTCTAATGGAATACCTGTTGTAGCAGACAGATATATATATTCTGGGATCGCTTATACAGCTGCTAAATCTCCACCGACTCCAAACTGGGAATGGTGTTGGGAAATGGAAAAAGGTCTTGTAGAACCTGACTTAGTGATATGTTTAACACCAGGAAATCTAGACGAATTAAGTTCTAGGAATGGTTATGGAAATGAGCGGTATGAGAATGATGATTTTCAAAAGCGTGTTCTGGAGAATTATGTCCGGATTTCCAAAGATGTTGAATTAGATAATAAAGATAATAATGATGAAAATGATTCAGTTGGACTTTGGCATTTCATTCAAGCAACAGATAAAACTATCGAAGAAGTGCATAAATGTATTATGGTACTCGTTAAATCTAAATTGGAATCGATCATTGGCCCAGAAATTCATGAATGTACAAATAAAAAAGATTAATAAATGCCATTACTATGAATTGAAAATTGAATTTGTTATTGCTTATTTATGGTATCACTATTTTTCATAGAAAAGGCTTTTCAAGTTGTGTTCACATTGATCAATACAATTGTGTAAATCAACCCAGTCCATTCTTTTGCTATAGTAATAGTCATTCGTTAGCACAATTGTAACAAGATCATAAGCTGTTTTGTCATGTAAATTTCATTCCCTGGGACGTGATGGATTAAATACACTTTAAACATCAACTGCGAATTACTTTAAGTTTTGTAATCTAAGGTTATAATATAAGTATAGCCACACTATGTGTGAGAGAGAACTATAGTATAGGTTCGTAATTAATTAATGATAACTAGTAAGATGTCCATGAGTTCCTAGCGCTATATTTCCGAGATGGTATTGTGAATAAAGAATGTATGTGAACATGACAAATGTATGATGATACTTGAATGTCAAATACAGTCTACAAATATCCCATCTGAATGAACTATTTGTTTTCTACATTAGGTGGTTTGGAATACATTTTGCAAAACTTTTCCCTAATAATCGAATTTACTAATGATATGGATTAAACATACAGAGGAACTGTTAGTAAAACCCGATGAACTGTCAAGAATATCAAAATATAGAAAACCCACTTGAAATGTTTACGAAGTTGAGTTCCCGTTTATCGAAATGGGAATTAATCACTTATCTAATGTTCCATGGAAATCGACTAAAAATAAGCATGTATCAAAATTTGTAAACAAAAATGTGACACAGTTTTTTCCAGTGAAATTACACTCAAATGTGCACAATCGCAAATATTTAGTTTCCCAAATAATCATCAGTTGTGTCTTTGGGAGCCCTTCGTTTAACCAACATTTATTTTTGTCTTAGTGGACACATTCCGTTTAAGTTGAATTAAGAGCATGAAGTACAAACCTCGTGAGATGATTAATTATTTAAATGATAAAGATGAGACGTACAGACATAGACTTCAAGAGTAACATGCTCGCAAGAATCTTAAACCTATAAATAGCTCACTTTAAATCAACTGAGGTCACACTTAGGTAGTTCTGAAAACGAGGCTGACTCAGATGTTGCTTGCAAAGATATACAAACAGCTGTGGAAACAGCAACGACATCTACTTGTGATTTGAACCAAAGAGTGACTAAGAACCAGATGACGTCTGCTAAGTCTATTGCACTGGTAGATTCGCGTAAACACATCCCGTCAAGCTCCGTGAGCAGTGGTAGGCAACGAAAGCAAAAGAGATGGAAAAAGAAGCAACTGTAGGTAACACGAGACAGCTCTACAGACTAATAAAACAAACTGGAATTAATAAGTCAAGTGTGAGATGATCTCGGAAAAAGATGACACACTTCTCTGCTCTCATTCCAGACGTTTAGAACGATGAGCAAAACAATTTAAGGAGCAGTTCAACTGGCCTTCACCTACTCTACAACAACTCACCATTCCCAGATAGCCTGAATGAATCATTTAAGTAGGTCTCCCCGACCCTATATGCAGTTCGGAAATCCATATTTAATCTAAAACGAGGAAGAGCAGTTGGTCAAGATGGATTCATTCCGGAGGTCTTTAAGGTTAGTGGTCTAGTTTCAGCGATTACATCGACTAATATTTTGGCTAAAATCTGCAAACTGGATGTAACTCCATGTGACTGGTCGCAGTCATTGATTGTCCCAATATACAAGAAATAATCCAAATCATCCTGTGATAACCATAGACAACGGGTTAGTTTGACTAACATAACATCTAAAATACTAGCCTCAATAATTATCGGACGCCTGTCTAACTAAGACTCGTGAACTGCAAACACGAGAAAATCAAGATGGATTAAGACCTGACGGTGACTGTATCGACCACATATTCACCATTCGTCCGGTTCTAGAACACATGCATACTTATCGGCGTCCGAAAATGATAGTTTTTCTCGTCTTGAAAGCAGCATTTAACTCTGTAGACCGCGAGATTCTGTGGCAGTGTCTGTCATTGAAAGGCGCGCCTCAGAAGTACATAAACCTTGTGAAGGCTCTTTACTCCAACACTACTAGTAGATTCAGAGATTATGACGAACTGTCATCTACTTATGCGACCTCAAGCGGCGTCCATCAAGGCTGTCCATCATCTCAATTTTTGTTCAACTTCACCATAGACCTACTGATGGAAATAGCGTTTTTGTCGACTGAATTTTCGGGCGTTGACCTCCTTCCAGCAGGTCGATTTATCGACTTAGAATACGCAGATGACAGTGTCGTTTGGTAAAGACTCTGATAAAATCCAGAGTCTTTTGATAGGACTGAGCAACAATGCCAGAATATTTGAGATGTGCTTTTCTCCCTCTAAATGCAAGTTGTTGCTTCAGGACTGGCCTCCGTCAACACCTGAACTAAGAATAGGGAGTGATGTAGTCGAACACTTCGACAATTTCGCTTATTTTGGAGATCTGATCAGTACAAATGGGTTGGTGTTTGACGAAATCTCCACATGAATTTAGAATGCTCGCTTATGTTGCATTGATTTAATAATAGCTGAACCAAAGGACTAATTATTTATGTTGGTAGTGAAAATACCATAAGATGGACAAATGATAGTGTGTGAAGTATTTTTTTATATTTTCTTTGAAAAAATTAAAAAAACAAAACAAAATTTGTACAAAAAAACACTTAAACGGTAAATTAAGGTTTCCAAAGTTTTAATAAACCATCTTCTGCATATGTTGCTAATAAATTCTGATGTGGATGATGATCACATCCAATTATACTTTTATCATGAACCTAAAAGTATAAAGAAAATAAATCATTATGAATATATCGTATTATATATAGGCGAGACTATGGACAATTATCACGATTCTATACTAACATACTGTTTAGTTTCGAGAGGAAATTCCTGGGAGTTCTAATGAAAAACTATGACCCGTGGAGTTCAGCTTTGTTGGTATGTGAGGAAGGTACCCACCGAAGACAATGGAAGATGGTTGCACAGTATCATGAATTGATTAAAGTTCAGTGGTTTACATGTTAAGCGTTTGTTCACGAGACCGAAAGTTCTTTGTTTGATTCATGGATGCGGGTGAGTCCTATACTAGGACAAAATAGCTGTTCAACACTTCTTGTCTCTCTCAATAGTTTTCTAACTTAGGTTGATTAGTGATTTAGATAAAATTATACAACCCTATGGTGTTATATTGTGTAGGTATTTGACAAATACCTTTTGAATGAACTTACATGTAAAGTATGCTCTAATTTTCCACCAGATCTAACACTGAAACAATACAATGATTGATCTTCAGCTACACAATATATCCATTCACCTCGTCCACTAAGTGTACAATCAATAATATCTCCATTTTCACGTTTATTATTAGTGAAACTTTGTACAACCTAAACATACAAAAAAACAGTACCAAATATAAACATAACAATCAATACTTATCAAAAAAACGAGTTACTGCCAGTTCGTTCTGTTAATACGGAGCGAAACATGGCCCTTAAGAGTAGAAGAACCCGTAAGCTACTAGATTTGACAATATGTAAACAGTTGATCAGTTTGTGAATCTTTATCGACTGAGATGGTTGGCACGTGTTACTATGCCTGAACACCGATTACCACGACGCCAATGCTGACTAATGTTGGGATGGTTGGAAGAAAGTTAGGGGCAGCCAAACCAAAACGTGGCATCAGTGCCTGAAGTCACTAACTTCTAGTCTGAGCCATGTTGGTAGATGCAGACTACTTGGTTGGGGTCCGCGTGACAATCGTAACCAATGGTTGGAGACTGTAAGTGACATGGCTCAGAATCGATCACAATGGCGTCGGTGTATACACTCCCTGTCTTCCCTTAAACTAAGAGATTAAAATCACTTCATATCTTTCTTCCTAACTCTTTCTTCCTATACTATATACTTATTGCAATCTTTCTCCTATATATTACCACCTTTGACCTAACCACTCCTATGAATCCGCTGTTCATCTTGCTGTGCTAATGAGGTATGGCAACCTGGACCGATGCACATATGTGCCTGGTCCTACGTTGTAGCTGACTGACTGACTGATATAACAAATAATTAAAAAAAAAAAGAGAGAGTAACACCTTTGTTAAGCTAACAGTTACATAAAAATGGGTCAATCGAAAATGGTTAAATTATAAATCAATATTTATAATTTAGATTGATAAGTATATCTGAATAAATTATTCTCATATTGGATCGATAATCAACAGTAATTCTATCTTCCATTATAATTTTTGGTTAGTTCGATACATCCAGTAACACTTTTACGATTAATCCCTGTCAAGTCCCCCCCCGCCATTTTGACAGATAATGTTATCGACATTGTAACAAATCGTTTATTTCATTGTATCAGTAGAATTGCTATCATAACAAAGTAAATGTGTATATTTGGAGGCTTATAACAGCCAACACATATTTCTGTCGCCCCTAAATGCCCTGTTACGGCCGAAAGTGGGGTGGGCTCGCCCTCCCTCTCGAAATGCTCTCACATGGCCACGCGTATACGGCCTCTGCTAGTGAAGTCCTACTCACGGCCTTCTCGTGGCGGAGGTGTGTTGCTTACGAAAATGAATGGACGAAAAGCGAATGTCCGACTCTTTAACTGGATCCCAAATCAATGATGCACATGGGCTCTAGTATCCTGCGGGAACAAATGGCGTATATACCAATCGTTGGTCACCGGCTACCATGGGACTGCATCTCCTTACGATGCTCCACCGCCTTGTAGATCAGATTTTTAGGTCAAAGACTCCGGGTGTGACGCCCTAAGAAAATCACCTGCTTTGGTCTGGGCACCCGGGCAGTATCACAGCCCTTACACAAAGTGTGGCGCATATATATTTGGTGCCCTCTTGTACCAATATTTATGTGTTCAAATAAGTAAATAATAAAATCTGTCGGACTCAAATCTTGAACGTTTAAATATAGCTCGATGTATTATTCTGAATTCCTCATATATAAATATGCTTGTATTATAAAAACAAGCTGTACTTTGATTCAGAGTGCCTTTATTTGATGTGACTATTAATTCGCCTATGGATTCGCTCGTATATAGATATATTCGCTTATCTGCTCCGAATCCGCTCGATGTGTTTTTAGCTTTGTGATCTGTACTATCTGCTAATAAACTGTAGTCGCTTCTTATTGCCACCCTCTGATATCAAACACTACCATATTTATTCACTAGGTCATATCTCAGTGTCATATATTACATGATATGAAGA